TTCTAGTGTCCTCAAGGTATTTCGCTGCCCCTGGCTCCCTGCATCAGTCACTCCCCCCCTTGAGATGAGCAGTGAGAGGGCTGTGGTCCTCAGACCAGAAACAGGATGTAAGGAATTTTCAGGAAATGAAATTCAGCTTTTTTTTTTAACGTATTTTTTTATATGTGCTTCAAAAGAGAGAAAGGGAGAGAGGCACAACAGCCTGGCTATGAACGTCTGGGGAGCTCAGCAACCCCAACCATTTGCACCTTTAGAAAAACATTTTCCCTTGAAGTGCTCTCCATGCGTCTGCTCAAGTATTAGCAGAAGGATGAACTGCAGTAAGCAGAGACTGGTGCTGATGAAATTAAGTTTATAGCCTGATGCCAAACTCCTTGCCCCATCAGAGATCCCATGTAGGTTAAAGGACATTCTGGAGTCTGAAAAAAAAAATTAGCAACTGCTCTTCAACAGTATTATGAAGAACTACCGTTTATTACAATGACAATTGTAATAAGTACATATGTTCTAATAAACACAAATACAACAAAAATGACATTTCCCCCATTTGTGGTGATTCTTGGAAATACTTATTTTGGAATATACACATTTTTGGAAACCAGACCTTACTTGTAACCAATCGAAATGGGAGCAGAGAGCACTGGCCTGCAGGTTGCAGTACTTTGATTTCATCGCCAGGTAGGATGTGAGGTCAAAACTGGATGCACAGCTGGGAAAACTTCAGCCTGCAGGGTCCAGAAACTCTTCTGCTTTGCAGGGGGAGGATCAGGGAACTGGAAATACCTGTTCTAGTGCTTAACAGTACTCTGTGTATTGTTGGTGGTGCAACACAACAGCAGGGTTCTCACATTTAACTAAGAGCCACTTAGCTGCAAAAGATTGATTAGGAATGGAAAACTGCACGTGCATGTGTGTGTGCCCCCGGGGGTGGAGTCATTGAAAACCTTTCTGAGGAAGCGTAAGCTGGGAACTCATGCTTCAGGAGCCTATGAATGTCTGAAATGATTTAGCTGCTCAATAGGCTTTGGGATTTTTCAGTGAATGCCAATTGGGATGGGACTTCTACGTACCTGCAAAATCAACGTAACAATCCAGAATTCAGAAATCCAAGGGAGAGACCAAGAATACCAAGCATTAAACAACAGTCAGAGAGACTAGGATGTGCAGTGTTATGAGAACAACAAGGAATGCTTTATATACTTCAAGACACCTCTGTTTATAACACCATGGTTTAGAACAGGGCGATGGGACCGCGCTGGAGGGAACACTCACTGCAGACATCTCTGGGGCAGACACGGTGCTGCACTGCACTGGCCTCGAGGGAGGAAGGTCAGCCAAGTGCAGAACTGGCTCTGTGCCCCTCAGCCAGATGGTTTCCCTCAGATGTGTGCCCTGTCTCCAGGAGGGCTCCTCGCTGCCTCTCCATGCTTCAGACGCAGCCTCAAAACCACGAGGTGTTCACCACCCACTCAGAGGGAGTTTGGGGGGTTCAGGGCTAGTGCTGTTGCTGGTTTTCCCCATACCTTGCACTAGTGAGGAAACTGGTGTCTTCCATACTTGTATGGCTGGGGCAGTGCAGGGGGAAGCAAAGTCAAAGAAATGGCTGGCCTACTTTGTTCTTTTCTGAGGGGTGGGAAGCCAAGGATGATGGTAGAGATCATGTCCTGCAGCTAAACTTGTGTCAAGGAGATTTCCTCCATCAGCACTGAGCTCTGCGGAGGCAGAGCTGCAGCTGGAGGCTGGGACTGGATTCCTCAGGAAGGAAGAAAAGCTGGGAGGGTTTTCAAAAAACTTAAGTGGATGTCTGTTCCTCCAGAAATAAGCCAAAAAACATACCATGCAGCTTTCTAACAGGTCTTCTAACACAGGGGGGGGTTTAAATCTCCCAGTAAAACAGATGCTCTGCCTTCCATTTGCAGAGGCAGGAAAGGAATAAATGTGAGCAACACGAGCATTTTCCTCCACAACATCTTTATGGCTTGGGTATGACATCCACTATATCCCTTTACTCCAATTGTTTGACCGAATTTTATGCCCCAAGGTAGATGTACTAGAAAACGCGAAAGCACCACAAAGTGAGAGACACAGCTAGTGGTACGGAACTTCTTGCCACACAAAATGCCAATATAAATATGTTAGAACAAGTTACAAGTGTATCAATACTTAAGACGAAAAAAAAGAAAAAAATAAATATATATATTTTTAAAGAGCAGAACAAATCTCAAGCAGCCAAGTGGTGAAGTTGCAGTGATGTACAGTAGGTGATGTAGCCCTACAACCTCTTGGGAAGATACACTGAAAGAAGACGTCTGCAAATGCATCTTGGCAAAGTATTGGTACAGAATGCAGTGGTTGGCTGGCACTCACTATAGTACATAAATGTTAATGGCAGACTGGGAGTGAACTGATTTCAAGTTTGAGGCCGCACATGTTCCATTCTCCAGAAGAAAGTTCTCACACAAAACGAAAATTGTCAGAGATGCTGGGTGAGTCAGTACTCATCCTGCTGCTGGGGCTGTTCATGGACTTGCTCTTCACCTTCATGCTCATCTGTGTGGCTCTCCTGCAGGGAGAAAAAGACCCCAAAATGTTCTTGAGCAGAAAGCATTCCTCATGTAGTCCTGTCCCACAGTGCTCACCACAGTGTAAAGCTTAACTTCTAACCTTCATGCACGTAAGTACGAAATGAGCTGTTACCTGAGAAGAGCAGCATCTCATAATACCACAACAAAATGCATTTACTTTGGTTTTAATCAATGCATATGAAGTACTGATACTTCCCCAGAAAAAGTGTCAGCTTTCAGCATCACTGAGTGTTGTCTGCTCCAGGAAGCAAACATTTTGAACAGTTAGACAGTAATATTTCAACAGTTAGATGCTGTATCATAGCATCCTGATGTCCTATTTTCAGTTTGTCCAAGGTTTTCTGAACCTCTCTGCTGTAGTTTTCACACAGTCTTCACACTAGGTTTATATCACGAAATGGACAAGACACTTTTGCTATCACCTGCTTTAAAAATTAAACACAACCTAACACAGCCTCCTTTTAGAGGTCAGGCATACTACTTCCCTGAAATAACACACCCCTGCTGACTCCCAAAGACTTGCAAGCACGTTTTCATGGGGAGGGTGGGGAGAAGAGTCCATCACTCCCTGATTTATAGAGCTCCTGCTAAAAGCACTAATCACTAAATAAACACTTCCCATCTGCAAATGGTCCTTATGCACAGTATTTTCCCAAGCTGTCTCTCTGAATAAACATTCCTACTGGGAGAAGAATCGCTGACTGAAAGGGAGGCTAGATCCTCACTGCAGGTGATACCAGTTCCAAACGACTTCCAAATTAGAGACACCAGACCTAGTATCCTGAGTTGACCTGGATGTTATCTGAGCTCAAAAAGTCTGGCTGACTCCTAGAGCATCCCTTCTGGATTCCCATTAAGCACAGCTGCACTTACAGCTTTGCTCTCAAGTGGTTTCCATCTTTCCACAGCACGGTTCAGTGCACAGATCCCTCTGGTGTACGCTCTGCCCTGCATTAGTACAGCTCTGCCATAGGCAGATCTCAAGGAGGACACTTTTCCAAGACACTGAGCTGCCATTCAGAATGCAGCACACCCAGTGCAGAACTTGTCCGGCTCCCAGCAATTTTCATTAGAACCAAGTGGCTTGAACAAACTTTTAACAAACTGATACTGCTGAGTTTTCAAATTTGAAGCAAAAATTGAAGAGAGATCATAATTTGAGTTTTCCACAGTAGTGCAGAGCAGGTTATGAAATAAGCAAATTCCCTTTTGGCAATAAAATATTTATATTTCTAATGGGCAAGTGCAGGAGAATAAGGTTCCTAACCTTTGCTGATACAATGGAAATTTTCATCTGTTTATCACATACAGAAACAGCCCAATTTCAATAGAAAGCAAGCTTTTCATCACTGAGGTGCTGTTTTCTGGTGGAAGCCACACATAAGTCAGGACAACTGAAGTTCAGCACCTTTTTGCTCCTTGGGGTGAACAACACCCTTGTTACATAAAGTAGGTACCTCATGTCAAAACAGCTTTGTGCGTAGGACCTAAAAACTGCAACTTCTGTGATGGGCTGCAAGGACACAGGACTTGCAGAGAACAAGAGTTTCACAGAGGAGCTGGCAGCTGTGAGAACGTGACCCTGCCTTAAGGGGCGAGAAAACTGAAGCTTGTTTAGCTGCAGTGAGTGATGTTACCTTAACCCCATCTATCCTGACCCTCCTCCTTATGTGTTGAGGTGACCTGCTCGGGAATGCACATGTTCCATAGGCTGTCTATGAGGACTTTATGAGATATACCTGTCAGAAAGCCCACTCATGCAGACTTTATAGGTCACACAGATGCTCTCTTCATTCATACAAGAGGCAAAGCCTCTAACCACAGACAGCAGCTTGAGAATCTGCTCCACAGCTTTGAGGAGGAGTGGTGGCTCCTCTCTTGCCAGGTTTACCTTTGATGGAAATAGTCAACCTTGTGTGACTACTTTAGAAGTTGCTTTGAGACTTGGGACACATGCTTCTCAGTATGTACAGCTTGTATAAATACATGAAATGGGAAAGACAAGAGTCACTATGCCCAATTACTTTGGGACTGTGGAATCTCCTTGAATAGCATCCCCTAATAAGGAAAGTAGAGGAAGATCTATTTACAGCATTTATTTCTGGCTTGAGCCACATGACCATGGTCATCTCTGTCTCCCATGTCGAGAGGTGCTCTCTTTTGACGCTTAGATCCATTTGCCTCAAACTATTCAGGCGTAGACTGAACAGTAGACTGTAGACTGAACAGCTAGACCACAAAACACCGGTGTTGGGAGGGTAGGTGCCTTTCCCAAAAGCAGCAGCAGAGGTGCTAGAGCAGAAAGTTACAAAACCAACTGCATTTCAAGCAATTGCTCTGGAAAATTGAGCAGAGCAACTGAGATATCCAACTTCAACAACTCACCCAACTTCTGCATGAATCAAACCAGAACAGCATATGTAGGAAGGCAAAGGCTTCCCTATGTTTCTGCTTTATACCAAGACCTACGTGGCTCTGGATTTCATAATTAGACACATAGCCTCTTCTTGTCCATCAGTCTGAAGCTCTCCTTCTGTAATACCACATGACTAAATGCTTTACACACCACCTGAGGTCTTGATGCTGTCTATAACAGGCATAGCATGAGAATTAGAGGCCACACTGCCCCACCATCCAAATGGGAGCCTTTCTAGGATCTGTTGTCTGCCAGCTTTGATGTTTTTGGTGAAGAAGTAGGATTACAAATGAGAAATTTATAATTAGAAAGTACAAAGGATTACAAACTGATCAGCCAAATGTTAAATGACAGTACCAGATACAACATCCTTCTTGCATAAGGATCAGGTTCAAAACAGAACCAAAAGAAAAGGGGCCTCTAAAGATGGGGAACCCAAATGGATTGATATTTGTGCTGCTCAAACTCACCAAAATCAAGACCAAAACAATCAAAATAACTGATCAGTCTTAAAAAATTAGACCTTATTGAATTAGGCTAAACAGAATCTCATAAAGTGACATGACTGAAACTACACTGTGAATTGGAATTCTGAAAAAAATAATTATCCCACTCCCCACCCCATGACACAGACCTGATCAAAATCTCTTCAATACAATACTACAATAATCAGACCCCTGGAGAATACTTTTTATAGGGACTATACTCTTACTTACATTCAGAATCATTCTACACATAATTCACCTAACAACCTGATGCTGGGGACTGGGAAAGCCAAACCAAGGGATTAACCTGCAAAATGCTAAAAGGTAAAGAACTTAACTTGGGACAAATTCATTACAGAGAAAGAGAGCAAAAGCAGATCTGAAGGGCAAAGCAGGGAATGAGAGAGCAAACTCCAAACCCCAAAAAATAGGCAGGATCTGAATCGGCACTAAACCACAGTCTTTGGTTTAGTGCTAATGCACTGGTGTCCTTCCTTGGCAAATTACAGTCCATCTGCTAAGCTGAGGAGATCGAGTCTCCCAACCAAATGGTACAAAGAGATTGTGTGAGGGATGGCCTCTGCATCCCTCTCTGGAGGAGCAGTGCTCTCCTTCCAACTGCAGCCACAGCTTAGATAAAGGCTCAGTAGTTGTGTGGATGTCACACGCAGGCATGGGCAGTGATTTCAACAGAGAAAGGCTTGGAGGGAAGAAGCAGATAAAACACTGGGATAGGGACTGAAGTAGAACATTTTGTAGTGTGTTCTGCCAGTAAGGAAAACTTCAGGAAGAAAAGCAACAAATACATTCCTTGGTGCAGAATCACTTTGCTATTTAAGCCAACACACAGACAGATGTGGTATGGGTATGGGGAGAAGAGGGATTTTTCTGGCTTTGCTTTATAAATAAATCAGTGTTCTTGAATCCAGAAGACATTTTCTCTGACCGCTATGTATATGTAACACTTTTACCCTGTTATCACATGCTGGCAAATTTGTCTTATTGTTTATTCCCGTGAAAATAATGGTTTCCTCTTCTTTTTCCTCTCTAGCCCTCGCCCCGCACCACTGAACAAATCCTCTTTGCCCTGTCACTTCTCATCTGAGCAGTGGCCCCTGTCAGCAGCAAGCTCGTGGCCCCCTTGCACCTAACTTTCAAACATCTGTGCTCTTCATCAGTCTCTTCTGGAAAAGCATGTGAGTTAGGAGTTCCTTTGGCACTACTTTTGATATAAAATTTTAAGTCAGCTAACTACTGCTGCAACAGCTTTCTGGGAACAGATATAAGACAGCCTATGGTACTATAGTGCTGCCAAGGGATTAAGTTGATGCTTATACACTCTGGAGCCAAAGCCACGTCCGCTGGAGACTGAAGGGTCAATTGTCAGTACAATCCATACAGAGATTTAGCTAGCATGAATGGGAGTAGTTCAGCTAAATCTCCACTGAATCATTATCCCTCAATGTCTCTGAGGAATTTAACCAGCACCCTTTGCAGCTTCTTGCTTTGTTCAGTGTCTACAGCACTAAGATGCAATGAGATTCTTGCTTAATCTTGCAGACAATACATTTCTGCAATTTTGCTAATAGAGGATTATTGGGTTTGCACAAGGAAGAATTTTGCCTATAGCAACAGGATAAAAATGCTAAAGAGCATTATCTTTGTAGATATAATTATGTATTTGGCAACCTGCACCACACATATTCCAACACTGCCATGTGGGCCAGAGAAGGTTCACAGCTGTAGACACTGTCAGAATTTCAGGCACCTCTGCCAGAATTTCTGTGATTTTCAACACGTTAAAGTGCATAAGAGAAAGACTTTATGCAGAAAGATGGAAGATGAAAAAAACAACTAAGGCTCAGAACCATATGAAATCAATTTAGAACTGTGACACAGGCCCTCCCCTTTCAGATCAACCTCAGCAGACCCAAGATACGAAACATACAGTGAAGCAGTGGAAAGCAACCAACCTCCTGAATCCCCTCCCCAAACTGAAAAGTTTGCTGTTTGCAAATACAAACTCCCTTTCTGTAGGAGGAGACATGGAAATCCTAGCTGCTACAGTTCTGCTGACCCAAATATAGGACATGACCCAATACTGTACCAATAATTCTTTAGAAAATTAAGCTTTTTTATTGAAATAAAACCCATTAAGCGTCAACTTACATGTTCTTCTGAAGCATAAAGGACTTCCATTAGCCGATTGACAAGGTCATTATTCTCTCCCCCGTGTTCTTGGCAGAGAAGTTCAATCTCCCTTAATTTGCCAAAGTAGAAATCCCTTTCCTTCTCCACGCCTTCAAGTGCAAGTTTTAATGAATGTACCTGCATAAAAATCAAGACATGATGCATCAGTTCTGAGGTTCACTACAGACAGAACAATTCAGTCTAAATTCATGCATGCTCAACAATCTTAAATACATATTTAATTTTATAGCTTAAAATGATGTCCACCTTTTTTCTTGAAATGCTAGACTGAACCTTACACTATACAGAACAGTAAATCAGGCTCTCTGTTATGCCTCCTGGGTACATCTTAACCTTGATCCTTAAAGGTCAATTTTCTCAGTGCTCTTTTACACTGAAGCCCAAAGCAGCAGTTCAGAGATCATGGCTACTTAAGCCTTGTCTCCTAACGAGGCTGCCAGAACTGTCACATAATGGCAATTAATAAAACTTTCAGCTCAGTACTTGCATTATTTTTCCTGGATTCATGTGTAGTTGTTGGGAAACCTACAATATTTCCTTGCCTAAAAATACACAGAACTATCAGAAAAGCTGACAAAGGGAAATGCTGTAGTTAAGTAAGTTAAAAGCTCCTCTAGTTGTGAATGTGAGTACTGCTGTGTTGGTTTTCCACCTCTCTTCTTCTGCCTCCCCACTGTTACAGGCTTGTGTTTCAGCACTCCCATGCCGTGACTGGCTGCACCATGGACTTTCTGCTCCGATTTTCTATCAGCAAATTCTCTGAAATGCCAAGTACCTTTTTCTTTGCAACCTTGTTCACCAGAGTCTTCAAGCTATACTGTCAATCTCAATTTCACCACAAGGACTGCTGCAAATTATTTATTGAGCCACATGGTTGTTAATGATTAGGCTTCATATAAATCATGACAGATGTTGCAATTTATTTTATACGTATATATACATAAACAAACATCTACATTTAAAAAAGAATGATTTTGTGGGAGTGTAACATATAAACTTCTGTCTACACAATCAGGATAATGTGTAAGTAGCTTGCAAATTCAGAGGACAGCAGTGTAAAACCACCAGAAATAATCAGAGACGAAGCTGTCTACAGTAAACACACTGACCCCAATCACATCCCATTACAGCCAAATTAGCATTCACATTTAAAAGCCTGCAATTATACAACAAATTATTTTCTAAATAAAACATGCTAAATAAATTAAATCCTCTCAGACTACATTTCAGTGAGCTGATACACCATTTAATAGAAAGTTCTGTGCTGCCAGTTCTACTGCAAGCTGATTTATTTCCTTCGCTAGCAAAAACACCAGCAGAATTCAAATAATGATTTGACAGCCTACTAAATCCTATCAGTTCATTTTTCCATAACTGCTGAGCTAGTGATGCCATTTTCTGACCTTTGCATTCTTAAAGATGTCAGACAGCAGAACTGACCTGTTACCAGAGCAGGATCTCAGAGCACCTCATTCTTGTACTAACCCATGCCTGACCAGCTGTCTGAGAGCAACTCCCAAGTCCTCCCTGACAGTTTGAATCCATGATGGATATGATAACCAGTCACCTTAAAATTACTTATTTATTCACAAAAGTAGGAATAGCAAAATGGAACAAGAGTTTGCAATATTTTGGCCTGTAGATGAAGACCTCACATTTGGGATATGCCTTCTGAAGCTGCCACAGCATATTGCCTGAGAGCAAGGCCTGCATCCAGACAGAACAAGAATATAACTGCTTCCAGATCTCTTGCTCTATGCTTGCTCAAGCCTGGGAAAACAATGAACTTCAGCTGAAAAACTGGCAGCTAATAGCTCAGACCATCTCCCCTATCTGACCTATTTACTATGAAGACATTCTCCTGTTTTCATGCTATCACATTCACTCTGTATAAAGAAACACAATCATTAAACTATGCCTATATGCACAGCTAATTAACTACAGTATAGAGTACACATTGTTACAACCAAACCAGATATGCTTTTCTTCAGTTACATATCAACCACCGGTCTATGACACATGAATTCATTTTTCTTCAGATACTTAGTACGTCCACATTCTGCTTCTTCCTTCCATGAACACGCCAAAAGGCTGATAGTCAACTCCCATGCTCTGTTTCTGGACCAAAAGGACCCCTCTGCAACCCAGCAGCAAGGCAGCATTCTTACTAACCAGTCTTTTCTCTGATGGCACTTACTGGTAGCATGAGTATAACGAATATTCACGGAGCTGCATAAGCAGGCTGGAGATTAAGCACAACTGCAGGCACACAGCCTGCAGTTTCAGTTTCTCTCTGGTTTCAGAGACTATGTGTATAGCAGCATATAGTCAATGGTTCCTGGGACTGTTCTCCATATGTAAAGGTCCCTTCTCTGTATGCAATGGCCCCTGGTTTGTGTTGTCACCTCAGCTGCACTCAGACACTTTTTGTGAGAGTGCTAGTTGGCACAGACCAAAGTCACAGCAGGGACCACTTTAGCACTTTAATGCTAAGGGTAATCAAGTTCCAGTGCAGAGTGACATTCCTTCTAAGTGTTTCATTTACTACCACAGATCAAAGACAATTTTAAGAGAAACTTTAAGATTGTTGGGAGCTGTTAAACTAGCAAATGTTAGGGATGGCTTACGATTATTGCACATAGCTCATTAAGCTACACTATGGTGAAACACAGCGTGCAGACTTCCCCACTACTTAAAATTTTCCACTACAAACTGCAGTTCAGATGTTTCAGTCCCCCTTAGCTGCTGTCCATGAAAGGGCTGAAAAGAGACTGTTCCAGCCACACAGGAATCTGATACCCAAGATACGATTCAACATCTCTTACTCACAATCAAGATACAAACTGGTGGCTGCTGCTCTCATCTCAACTGCTGGAGAGTGGTAAAAAAATAGGCTATTTGGCTCATTTCAGCATGTACAGACTGGGGGCCAGAAAAACCTGGCTCAGAGCTGCTTACAGCATAGCTTTTTTGGCTCACGTTATATGCTCAGGGTGCACAAATATCCATTAGTGGGAAATGAGATACCAAACGCTGTCAGCATTGAATAAAAAAAAAAAAAAAAAAAAAAAAAAAGCCTTCCAGACCATTCTAGTTAGAAGATGTCTCTTAAAAACTAGCTATTAAAGCATCAACTTTTGAAATCCTCAAAATTTCTTTTCCTCTTTGGTGATGGGGGAAATCATCCCTTTTCCTTCGGGGTTATTTGTACATAAAACTTAAGGTTTCACACATGGAACGTGCTAGGAATATGTTAGCAGTGGATGTGATAGTGACTGCCTATTTCAGTGAGGATCAAATATTTTCATGTTGCTCAGATCCCAACGAACTCTTCCTCCTGAAGCAAATTCATTGTGACTTCTGAGTACAAATGTCACAGTTTAAGCCGCATTGAGCTGACGTTTGAACTCCACTCGACATTGATTCACAGAAAAAGTTTCCATGAAAAATATATACATCCATTCCTTGTGCAACATGTCAAAACTTTTCTGTTACAGCAACAATCTAGAGCCCATTTGGAAGGCTGGTGAACCCTGCTGACAGCTCTCTGCTGCTCAGAGTGATACCCTGAACCTGCAGGTGCTGTGTTTGGGATGTGGCTATCCACCCAGCACTTTCCAGTGCAGACCAGTAACCAAGAACTTGCAAACAGTGCCCCAACAACCTGAAATCTTTGCTGTTCAGGTCCATGAAAGTCTTAAACTAAAAATTGCCTTAAATATGGAAAATGATACTTGGAATAAAGACTGTTTCCTGAATGCAGCTGCCAGGCAGCTCAAACTCTAAAACAGGAGTTTTTTCCTTTCCATTTACCCTCATCCAGGAAAATACAGGCATCAGGTCTCATTTATACTAGTGGCATTGACACCATTCTGACAGCAGAGTCATAAGCCAGATGCAGGTATTTCCTCATGTCCAGTGCAGACACTCTTGCATGTCCAGGAGTGAGAGAGTGGTGTAAAGCTCCAGAGCATAAACAAAAATGAAACCCTTATAACATCAAAGAAATTCTGAAACTTTATTAATCATATTGCAGAACATTGTTCATAGTATAGCTAAGTATTCTCAAAAAGGTAGATAGCATTTTCAAATTAAAATGGCATATTACCTTCTTAATGACTTCCTTCTAGACAGCAGAGTGCAATGAACTAGTGATTCAGCTGCAAATCTCTTAACACCTTGGTATTACAAACAGGCTTGTTTTTTCCACGACACATTAAACGATATATCAAATTCATAATACACAAGAGCAAAGACACTATTGGGATTTTTCCTATCCAAGTGAAATAAAAGATGTATTTCAACACCTAATAAAATTACCATACTTCAGCAAGACATACCTGTCATTCCTAAGATCATCTTTTAAAAATACTGGCAAACACCAGTCATCTCTGCCACATGTTATTTTTAACAATAAATCACTTTTTTTCTTCTTTCCAGCTGAGCTATTTCTGTTTTTTTGGCCCTTCGTAATTCTGGAGAGCATCATTCAACAGAGAACAACATTAGATTTCATGCCTGCCTGTGACAATGAATGCATCTAGTTTTGTGCCTAAAGCAAAATTACCTGTTCACTGAGCTGTATGACTTGAGTTTCCAAATCTTTATCTGATTTGGATGCTGAGCTGCTTGGTGCAGCTTTTTTTGCTGAAGATGGGCGAGAAGGTGTTGATCCTGGTTTAGAAGCCGGACTGGATTTAGCAGCACCTGAAAAACACAATAAATAAATAATAATCAAGATTGATCTCCATGATAAATGCATTCCTGTTAACCTGCTATTGAAATGGAAGCATTTACTTTACAGCCCGACATCCTCTCTCTTACTTCAAGGTGACAGTGAAGTATGTTCCGGTGCTGCTATACTTTGGGAAAGGAAAAACTGTATTTCCTAGTTTGCTACTGAGAGTGAAATTAACTCTAAAATCAAAATAAACAAAAATCAAAATAAACAAATATCAAACTAAGAATATAAAGTTTCCTTAGCTCTGAGCAGCTTTCAGCTTTCAAAAAAAAAAGCCATTTAAGAGACCATTCTCCCAGCCCATTACTTCGTGTACATAGCTATCCTCAATTTCCCCAGAGAAAGACAGACCTGAAATAAACTCAGCTAAACTGCCTCAATGCTTTCCTCGTTTTCAAATGTAAACCACCCCTGAGACAAGGGCACTGGAATTCAGACAGAGCATGAAAAATTAAACCCATTGGTGAACTCACAGTTGCCACAGAGACCAATAAATGAGTTTTGATCTGCTTAGGTTTTTCTATTTGCTTTTAATTACTTGTACTGTGAATCTGCCAGAATATGGTGCAACATCTTTACCAGCAAAAATGGCAAGTAACTACTGTGTACAGGTACTCTTTTCCACAACAACTGTGGCACACCAAGGCCCAAGCAGAGGAACACTTGTGTGAAGGGTTTGCAGTGCCTTCACAGGAAGCTCACAGCCAGCTCCTCAGCCTTTGCTCTGCCTCTCCATCTTTCACCAACTCGGTGCTGCCTGGTACACAGTGCCTGGCTCAGTGTCCCCCCTGCCTCAGCTCCCACAGGCACAGTACTCTGACTCAGCCTTTTCCTGATTCCCTCCAACATGGCATAAATTTGACATGCAGTGGACAGACATCTGGTACAGAAACTGGTTTGGTTAAGAAGACAAAAAAGAAACTCAGCCACCCTCCAAATTTTTTGACTTATTAAGCAGGCGTGTGAATCAGCAGTCCTGCTGAGCAGCACCCACGTTTATCACTGTTTCTTACAAAGAGCAAAGTACAGTGGTCAGAATGTGCTACTGGGCTCCATGCCATCCTCCACCATCAAATGCTGTTGGCTCTGGAACCTGGGCCACACAGGAGAGAGCCCTAACCCAGCAAGCACCCAGCTCCCAGCTGAGCTCTGAGTTTTGCATTTCAATTCCAGAGGGATCTGCCCTGGCTTCCTCTGCAGACACCTTCTACCTCACACCTCGCCAGCTGCTCCTCCTATACAATTACCTGATTAAAGGCATACTACAAACTGTTCTAAGTTGCGGTTCCACAACGTATCCTCAGTGTCAGACAATGGTTTAATAAAGCAATTCACTGTAAACCCAATGTATTACAAAGACATTACTGGGAACACATTGCAAGGAGGCAGAGACACAGCTTGTGGGGCTGTCCATATGACCAAGCCATGGAGCTCTCACAGTCTCACTGACCGAGAACTGCGAGAGCAGTTCACTGCAGGAGCTGAAAAGTGATGGGAAAGGAGACCAGCAATGGATTATTTAATGAAGCTTGCTTAAGCTTTCCTGATTTAGTCACAGGCCTCCCTCTGTACCAAGCATCTCCTCCCACCCCTAAGGATAACTGAGTATTAACTGGGTCACCTAATGCCAACAGAACACAAACAACTTGGTAATTCAGTTAACATGTGTAAACATTTCTATGCAGGATGGTCATCCTCCTTTTCTATGCTCTTTAATATAAGACAGGTAAGAAAAGAGAAAAAAATGTATTCAGGTGGGTTTTTTTGTTTGCTTTTTTGTTTTGCTTCTTTTAGAAACTGGTGACTCCAATTGCTTCCCATGTCGAATTGCATACACAAACTCCTTCTAGCAGATTTCAGATATAGTACACAGACTTGCTACAGTCAGGAAAATTCAGAGTTCTGTATATGTCTGAAATTAAATTTTTTTTCACATCATACTTAGATCAGTAAAGAACAAATCATTTGTGGAAAAGAACATTAAAAATGCCAAGATCTTTTGCTGCTCTTTCTTTATGAAAATTATGAAGTTGCCTAAACTTCAGCATCCTGTCTTCAGTGCTTTCTAGGTGCAGGCCATATTTTGACTAACTAAAGATTAGCTGTTTCAGAGCAGGATTGCTAAGATGTTCTCAAAGCCAGAAAAACAATTTTTATTTGGATCAGCAGATAAACATAAGAAAACTGATGTCTAAATATGCAAGAAAAACACATAGAGGAAATAAAATCACTTTGACTCTAGCATTCTAGCTGGGTTTCGTGTTATTTAATGAGTGCTTGTATCGCAGGCAACTGCAAGAGTTATCTCTGCAACATTTAAAATAATACACATGTATACTACATCAGAGCATCAGCACTTATTTCTTACTGTATTCTACAAATACAACATATGGTTCAGGATATCAGCTGAAAAGTAAATGCTTTAAAACAAGCTATGGACCTTCAGATGTGAAACCCTGGCTGGTAGATAAAGCTCCTCCCTCTACCAACTCCCCCTTCTTCTACCTGAAGGCAGCAAGCACCTGCACACAAGCACAGGAGCAGCTGTCCAGCTTTTCCAGGGCAGCATCACCTCGGCCTGTCAGCTCTTCACCACTTCTTCTGGGGGGTCATGGTGCAAGACCTAAGCAAGGCTCGTTGTACAGCCATAGCATATTGCTCCCTTTCATGTTCCACAGCCCTGTGAAGGGAGCTAGCTCTTTGTAGATGGGGGTACTGATCACAGAAAGTCAAATCATCAAACGTGCATCTCTTTTTAACCAGCAGAGAGAGTTAAGGGCAGAGCAGGCACAGACATTTAATCCCCAGGTATTTTCTTTTAATTTGCAGCTGAGGGGCCCTCCCAGAGGGTGCTGAGCAAGCCTCCATCTCCACTGCCTGTGGACAGAGAAGGATGGATAGCACCAATACACCGCATTATACTCTGCCCTCCTTTGAAAACAACAAAGCCTTTTGAATTTCTACAGCAAAGTGTTACTAAGCTTTACAAAGTCCAGACAAATCAAAAGAAACTGACTTTTGCTCCACTGCTCAGGATCTGCACTTAAACGAACATGATATTCCAATTTCAGTAACACTGAAAAAACCAGCTAAGATACTAGATGGTATCAGCAACAGCTGGATAGAACTTAATTGCAACAGAGAATGCTTAGGGATTTCTAATGTAAAATTTCCTGAAGGGAAAAAAAAGTTTTACTTCACATTTATTCTGAAACATCAGCTTTAGAATAATCTCAGAGGTAAGACTCCCGTTCTAGCAGAAGCTTAATTTCATACAAGAATTAAAGGATGCTGGTTGGTACAGCAGTGCTTGAAACTGCCAGATATCTAAACAGAGACAAAAGATCTTGGTAGACTTAATGACTTGCTGTTGAGCAATGGCTTTGCAGTCAATTAGTGCAATTGTGGAATAACTCCTAATGCATTGCTCAGAGGCACTATATAATCCAAGCAGTCTAAATTATTTCCAACATCATATCTTCTATGAAAATATTTATAGATAATCCATTTGCATATTCTGAGAAAGCACAAAATTTTATACATTTTATGTAAAAATAAATCTAATAACCAGCTCTTTTTCACTGACCAGTGAGAGAACTGCATTGTAATCAGTACCATAAATGTTTCCCACCACCAATTCCTTTTCAATCTTACTGCTGATGTTCAAGGGAAATGCAGAGCCCTGCCCCTGAGGAGGAGCAGCTCCATGTCCCAGAACATGCTGGCAGCCAACAGACTGGAAAGCAATGTGGCAGAAAAGGACTTGGGGGTTCTGGTGGACACCAAGTTGAGCATGAGCCAGCAAGGCACCCTTGCAGCAAGGAAGGCAAACAGTCTCCTGGGCTCACTTGGAAGAGGACTGCCAGCAAGCCAAGGGAGGTGATGCTCCCCTTCTACTCAGCACTGCAGAGGCACATCAGGAATGCTGGGGTCAGTCCATGACTCCCCAGTACAGGACAGACATGGATAAACTGCAGAGAGTCCAACAAAGGGCCACAAAGATGACTCAGGGTCTGGAGCACCTCACACATGAGCAAAGTCGGAGAGCTGGGACTGTTCAGCCTGGAAAAGAGAAGCTTCAGGGGGATCTTACCTACACCTGAAGAGATGGTGCAAAGAAGACAAACAGGCTCCTTTTAGTGGTCCTCAAAGGATGAGAGGCAAAATGAAAAACAAGCAATTCCATTTAAACATAAGAAAAAACGTCTTTATTCTGAGGTTTATCAAATACTGGAACAAGCTGTCCAGAGAGGTTGGGAGGTTTCCAACATTGAAGATACCCAAAATGCGACTGGATATGGTCCTGGGCAACCAGTTCTAGGTGACCCTGCTTCCAGCTGAGAGGTATGACTGGACGATCTCAGAGGTGCCTTCCCACCTCCCCTGTTCTGTGAGAACTTCTGTGACAGCATGCTCTGATTTTAGGTCAATGCAGGAGCCAAATTAGAACTTTCTGTAAACAGTAAAGCAGCTGCTTTGATTAGCACCTAGATAACTTTTTGTACCTGCCCACATAACACTAGCAGAGATGGAAAATGTAAATTCACACTGAAAGACAAATTATTTTGTTCTTGTACTGAAACAAGTTAGATGAACCAGTTTTGAAATGCATTACAGGTTTCTATCTGTGGTACTCCACAAACAGTTACTAGTCAGTCCATCATAATTAAATGTATGCCCTGCAGTTTTGACTTCACTGTTCTTTCTGCTAAAGACTTAAGCTTTACAAACAAATGCAAACTCCTGCAATTTAAAACACTCTGAAGGTTTTGGGTACAACAAAGCTAGGCTGCAAATTCCAGGTCTCTTTACATCGCAAGTGCAGTCTTGCAGACAAGAGACCTACTTAATGTTTAGGGAGAAATCTTTCCTGAAGCTGTATGAGTAATTAGTATGCCATTAAATATTCATGCAAAATTTCAAGAAAACACATGCAGTGTGGATGTGCATGAGGACAGCGTGGAGA